TTCCTGTTTTTATAGAAGGGGAACAAAGACCAGAGAGGTTAAGTAACTTGCCTGAGATCACACAGCAGGTAAATGACAGAACCAGGGATTCAAGCCCAGTAGTCTGAGTCCAGAGTCAGTGCTTTTACCCTCAGCACAGTACCGACCAGAGGACCGCACCCCTGTCCTCATAACTTGCTGCCAAGACTGTAGAGCATTACTTGCTGCAGTTGGCACTGAAAACAGAATTTCATTTTTCAGATATCTGGTTGAGCATGCTTTTTCAGAGGGCACAGGATGCCCCCCAGTTCTGACAGGCCATCCCGCTGTTGCACTTGCCCCTGCAGTGGGGGGCACCTCGGCCCTGCCCCTCCCATCTCCCTTTTCCCCATCTGGGTCTCCAGGTCTCCACCTCAGCCGCTGCCTCCCCCGCCCGCTACTGGCTCTCTCCCTGCACCTGCCTCTCTTGGTGTCTCCCGTCACTGCCCGTCTCTGAACTGGGGCCCCTGCAGGCCACCTCGGTGTCTCTTCTCCACAGTGGGTGGGGTGCACAGCCGGGCTCCTGGGTCCTGAGCTGCTGGGGCCAGTGATGGGCGGGGAAGTTGGAGTAGGGCAGCCCTAGCTCTTAGCCTCAGCACCATTCTTCCCTGGCTTAGAAGCACCACTGCCCCCTCCTTGGGCCTTGGTTTCCACCTCTGTGAAGTGGGACATGAACCCCTCTAGTGCTGGCCTCTTGGAGCAGTTATGATGGTCCCGGGACTGAGAAGGGGCTTTATGATCTCTCAAGTGCTGTGTGTAGCCAGGAGGTGGTTGTGATTCCTCTGGGGCTGCAGATTAAAGAGGCTGCCTGAGGGGCTCCCTTCCTCATTCATTTGCCACAGTGTAGGTGCTGCTCTAGGTGCTGGGGAATCAGTGATCCCTCCCTTGTGGAACTTACATTCCAGACAGTGCACAAGGCAAATAGACAAATTAGTAAAAATGGTTGTAGATTGCATTGATCTGTGAAGGAACCAGTGTGGGGCTGAGATTGCATTAGCTTGGGTGACCAAGGGAGGCTTCTGAGGAGGTGACATGAAGCTGACAACTGAGACCTGTCATGTGATGGGACTTCCCTGGTGGTTCAGTGGTTAAGAATCCGCCTTCCAGTGCAGGGGACACGGGTTCGATCCCTGGTCGGGGAGCTAAGATCCCACATGACGTGGGGAAACTAAGCCCGCGTGCCGCAACCAGAGAGAAGACCACGTGCGGCAACAAAAGATCCTGCATGCTGTAACTAAGACCTGACACAGCCAAATAAATCAATTAAAAAAAAAAAAAAGACCTGCCATGTGAAGAAAAGCATTTCTGGCAGGGGAAAGAGCAAGTGCAAAGGCCCTGAGGCAGGAGAGAGGTTAACGTATTAGCAGAGCAGAAGGAGGCCAGTGCAGCTGGGGCACAGGGAGCCACTGAGAGTGTGGCGTAAGGTGGGGTCAGGTCAGGCCCTGTTGGCCTGGGGAGGATTTGGATTGTGTGACAAGGAAGGGCAGCCACTGGGAGATTTTCAGGAAGCGCTGTGGTAGCATCTGGTTTGCATGTTTAAAGACTCCCTCTGGCTCTGGCGGGGCGTGGAAAAGAGAGTCTGGGGGCTGGGGTTGTTCAGGGAGACCTGACATGGGCCAGGGAAGTGGAAGCAGGGAGATGGGGACGATGCTGGACGCATCTTGGCGGTGGAACTGACAGCAGTAGTAGGATATGGGGGGTGAAGGAAAGAGAGAGGTCAAGGAGGATGGGTTCCTAGGTTTCTGGCTAAAACTGGAATGTTCTAGACCTGTGACTCAGCACCAGAGTCTCCAAATCCTGTTCTTCTGCCTAAGGGGTAAGATGTCTTAGGAGCCAGGCCAGCGGACCCTGTGGGAGCTTAAGCCTCAGTCTTGTTCATTGTTGAAGCCCGAGAGTGCTCAAGGAATGTTTGCTGAATGAATGAATGGGAATTCCCAAGCCCTGCCCGCTCTTTGCCTCAGTTAACCCATCTGTAAAAGGGACTGCTAGTTTTGTATCCCTGCCTTCCAATTCCTTCCCCGGGGCTCTGGTCACCCCAGAAGGCCTGTGTCCATCTGGGCCAGGAGTCAGGACCATCCACGAGCAGGCCCCAGCTCCCCAGGCCCCCTCTCCAGCCTGAAACCTCAAATTCCCTGTACTGCGGTGATGCACCAGGGAGCGTTTCCATCTTGCCCAGATGCGCATGGCAGGCCCAACCCTCCCTTAATGACACCTTGCCTGCCTGCCCTCCTGCTGGAGTAGGAGGGGAGGGGGCCCGGCCCAGCCTAAGCCGTGGTTTCTTTTTCCATTGCGTCAGGCCTCAGGGTCTGGCCTGCCTGCCCGCTGCCGGCTGGCACAGAGGGGCCCACTCTGACCCCCGCCTGCCCCAACTCCAGACATCATGTGCTCCCCGTTTCGGGGATCCAGAAGCTTCCAAGCAGAGGGTGAGTTGGGGATGGGGGACCTGCCCCTAGCTGGGGGAGGAGTGCCCCCTTCCCCGCCCACTCATCACTCACTCTCTCTGGGGCCTGCAAGCTGATCCAGGTGGGGCCACAGTGGGCTCTGAGGAGCCCCGCCCAGCCCGACTGTCCCCTGGACCTGGCCCTCCTGGCCACACCCTCAGCCAGGCTGGAGCCAGTGAGGGGTAGGAGGACAGTGCAGTAACCTAGGCGAGGGATGATGGTAGCTCAGACCAGGGGGAGGGCAGGGGAGAAGTGGCCCCAGAGTGTCCATACAAGCGCTTGCCTTTGCATCTGTTAGCCTGCGGGCATGTGTGTGCGTGCGTATCGGTGTGACGTGCACAAGGAAATGTGTGAACCTGGGTGTGTGTACCTGATACCCCTCAGGTACGGGATGAAAACAGAGGTCTCTGACTTGGCAGTATGGGGGATGGTGGCCCAAATGGCATCTAGCATGTCATGAAGGGGGCCTGTGAGGTGGAGAGGGGTGGGTGAGCTGGAATCCACCCCATTAGTGATGATGGGAGAGACAGGGGTGTGGGCAGGGTAACCGCAGAGGAACTGATGACCTTGGGGGCACCGGGGTTTTCTTAGCCTCAGGCTCCCTTTGGCCTGGCTGACTCCCCAGATGCCCCCACCTGGTTCTAGGTCCCCACCATGCCCAGCAGTCCCCTGGCCCTGGCCAGAAGGCCGTACGTTGGCCTGGGAGTCTGGAAAATTGGTTCACAGCCTGCCTCTGTTTCCTGACTGTGTGACATTGTACAGGTGACTTCTGCTCTGAGCCTCAGTTTCCTTATCTGCAAAATGGGGATGACTCTTGTGCCCCACCCCCCCACCCCAGGTAGTTCTAAGCATAAACAGGTGTTCTCTCAGCCTCTGTGTGGACGAGCCCAGCCCCAAAACACTTACCCACAAAGGCCAGGTTCCAACTCCTTGACTAATATCTTATCCCCTGACTATCGAGTGGGTAACTGGCCCTGCACTGCCCCAGAGGAGGTAGGTGAGAGGAGGCCATTCCTTCTGAGAGCATGAGCCCACCTGACCGTGCTGACCAGCACTGACTACAAGCTGAGCACGTCACCTGCATGATGTCTCTGATCCTTATTCACTCTGGCGGGGCAGGTCCTAAAATCGCCTCACCCTCCAGAGGGGGACACTGAGGCTCGTTCATTCACTCAAGAGTGTTTACTGAGTGTCTACCAAGTCCCAAGAACTGTGCCAGAGCTGGGATCCTGCGGTAAGAAGACTTCCCAGCTCCAGCCCCCTAGGACCTCATGTTCCAGGCTGGCTGAGAGCTGCGGAGGGCAGCCAGGTCCTGCGGGCTGCAGGCTCCCAGAGGGAGCTGGGGCTTTATTCGGAGAGTGATGGAAGTCTTGGAGGGTTTTAAGCAGAGAGGTGACATGGTCCAATTTGTGTTTTTAAAGGCTCACTCCAGCCCCTGTGGGGACAAGGGGTGGTTAGACTAAGGAGAGGCAGCAGGGAGGCTGGCGAGGAGGTGGCTGTCATCCAAGTGGGAAAGACCGAGCCACAGTGGCAGTGCTGGGCCCGCTCCCTCTCCCTCTTGACCCCAGCCCGTTTCCTGAGCGCCAGCCCCTCGCTGGGCACACGCAGCCCCGGTCTGCAGGAGGCCTGCGCGAGCGCGGTCCCCTCTTCCGCTCCAGACACAGCGCCCTGGGCATACCTGGCAGGGAGAGGATCTGGACAGTGACAAAGCCAGTGCTCAGCCTCCTCCCTCCCACCGTCTGTCCCTAGAACAGAACCTCATTATAGTCACACGAGCCCAGAGCATCAGCACAGCACTGCAGTTTGCCTGCAGTATTTATTCTTGTCGTGTGAAAACTAGTTTCCATTGGAGGGGCTGGAGAGCTGCGTGTGTGCCGCAGGGTGGCCGTGCCAAGTCAGGGAGGGATGAGCAAATCCGTGACCCGGCGAGGGGATGGCTGATGCTGGAAGGCGGGCCTGGGTGAACTTCAGATGTGCCAGTGGAAATAAGATCTGACCACACCTTGTAGGACTGTGTCATGATGTGTCGTTAGCACATGAGGAAACTGAGGCACAGAGAGCTGAGGATAAGGACCAACTCAGGCAAGATCTGAGCGATATGGAGCGTTTGTGCATTCGTTAATTTATACACTTACCTTTTTTTTAATCCAACAAATGTAAATTGAGTGCCTCATATGGACCGGTCACTGTGCTTAGGCTGGTGATACAGGATGAACATGACAGATAATGAACAAAGTCAAGTTTTGGGTAAGTGACCGGAAGGTAGCTTCCTAGTGGTCAAAGCAGTGAGGGAAACCTGAGCAATTACAAGCTCCGTCGTAGCCGCGAGATGCCGATATGTCAGTTGCTCAGGAGAAGCCCAGGTTTTCCTGGCAAAATGATTGGGATGCCTGTGTCCACTGTGATTTGTTGCTGATCTGACAGGGGCAGCTTGGACCTGTGTGTATCTCACAGGTAAAGACCGACCAAAGCAGAGAATGACTTTAAAGACAAACTAAACACACCTATCGGAGACTCCTTTTTCACGCATTTCCTGCATTCTTTCTCTAAGCTTTTGCCCATGTCATCCTCCCCACTGCCACCCCGCCCCACACACACTCCTTTTCTTCCGTCTTTACCCACACCTTGAGGGTCAGGTGGTGACGCCTCCCCAGGGTGGAGTGGCGTAGCAGATGTCTGCCCCCTCTCTGACCCCCAATGCTGTCCCCTCAGACTGCGAGGAGCTGCTGCCGCCGTTGCCGACTCCCATGGCCTACATGCCGGGTGGAGGTGCCCCAGCACCGGGGGTGGCCCCCGTGGGCTCCCAGTACTGCGTGTGCAAGGTGGAGCTGTCAGTGAGCGGCCAGAACCTGCTGGACCGGGACGTCACCTCTAAGTCCGACCCCTTCTGTGTCCTCTTCACAGAGAATAATGGCAGGTGGAGTGAGGTGAGGCCCCTCTGTGTGCAGCTGCAATGGGTGGAGGGTGGCTCGGTTGCTGGGGAGGGGCTCTCACTGGATCCCAGGGACCTGGGCTCAGGCCCTTGGGAGTACTTGCAGTGTGGGCCGGGGGTTACTTAGAAAATTGTTATTCTGCAAATCAAATTTTATTTAAAATGTTTATGACAGTACTTAAAATAATTATATTTGTGTTTATTATAATTCATAGATTTATATTTATATAATTTTATATGTAGAGTTCTATAATATTTTAAGTTACTATAATATATAGTGAAAACCTTAGAGTTTTGGGCTTCCCTGGTGGTGCAGTGGTTGGGAGTCTGCCTGCCGATGCAGGGGACACGGGTTCGTGCCCCGGTCCGGGAAGGTCCCACATGCCACGGAGCGGCTGGGCCCGTGAGCCATGGCCGCTGAGCCTGCGTGTCTGGAGCCTGTGCTCCACAATGGGAGAGGCCACAACAGTGAGAGGCCCGCGTACCGCAAAACAAACAAACAAACAAACAAAAAACCTTAGAGTTTTGCAAAATGCTTGCTTTCATTTTTAAAATAACTTTCCCCTCTTATTCCTAAATGAGCACAGTCAGTGAGGAACAAACAGAGAAATAGGGAACTCAGGCTTTGGTCCCAGAGCTGGACCAAGACCCAGCTCTGTCACGCCCTGCTGTGTGGCCTTGGGCAGGTGGCTATCCCTCTCTGAGCCTGTCTCCTCATCTGTGAAATGAGGATTTTCTTTCCCTGCCTACCTTGGAGAGTCCCAGGGCTGGGGATGTTGATGGTGCCACAGCCAAAGACTTCTGAGCTGGAAGACTTTGGCCTGAGGGCTGGGGAAGGGTGCAGCTTAAGGAAGGATATTGAGAAATCCAAACTGTTAAGACCTTCAACGTTTAAAAATGGCTTTGTTTCCTATTCCGAAAGGGGTCTATATCCATTGCAGTAAATTTAGAAAATCCAGGTAGACCTAGAGAAGAAAATCAAAATGGTTGGGAGCCCGCCTGTCAGGGAGAACCAACTGTTAATGGTTTGGTATCCAGCCTTCCAGACAGTTTTACATGCATATAAATTTTCCAAAATATGTTTCTATTTTTCATAGTTATTTAATGAGGCCTCGGTGGGCGTCCCACAGAACATACTGTGGTTTACAAAGAGTTTCCACAGATGTTGGCTCCTTCTTATGATGCCAAGGAAATGGGCTGGGATTGTCGACCCATTTTACACAGGAGAACTGGGGCCCAGAGCAGGGAGGGACTTACCTGTCTCACCGAGCATGTTGGCGGTACAGCCAGAAGTGGGAGGTGGGGCATGAGGTCAGCCGAGGATTGCTGGGGGAAGCCCCAGGCCTGAGGCCAGCGTGTCCAGAGTCCCCTCTGACAGGTCTCCGGAACTCCCCCCGCCCCCGCCCCGCCCATCAGGGAGTGATGTCCTCCCCCACTGCACCCACCCCCACTCATGGCATGCCCCCCACCCTCCCTGACAATCTCGCTCCCACCCAGGCCAGACACCCTGGCTAAAAATAGCTCAGGGCCAAGACCTCTTCTGTCCCTGCTGCTCTCTGGCCCTTGGAAATGGGATGGGTGGGAGGAAAAATCAACACAGCCCAGGCCCTAAAATAGACTGTCACCCAGACTCCGCGGTTTGGGGCCTCAGTGCAGAGAGGCTGGGAGGCAGGGTTCCTGTCCCAGCCCCACCAGAGACCCACAGTGCAAGGCCCTGCCCTTCCCCAGGCCTCGGTCTCCACACTAGGTGGTGGGGTGGGGGCCGCTTGGTTCCTGGTTTTGACATTCCGGGGTTTGAGGAAGGTACAGACACCTGCCTCCGGGGAGATGGGGAACCCCTGACCTCACCTCCCCCCTAAGTACCCCTCCTTCTCTCTGTTTCTTCTCTCAGCTTCCATGTAAAATGTGGTTTGAAAAAAGGGTTCTCCCGCAATATAAAGGATGAAAGCCACAGGTGTCAAATCCTTTCATTTTACAGAAGGGGAAACTGAGGTCCAGATGGGAAAAGGGACTCCCTCTGTCACTTAACCTAGGCAGGGACAGGTTCCAACCTCTTACCTTGGAACCTGGGTATGGAGTCAGGACCAGTGTGTTAAAAGTGTGAATGGTGGGCTTCCCTGGTGGCGCAGTGGTTGAGAGTCTGCCTGCCGATGCAGGGTACACGGGTTCGTGTCCAGGTCCGGGAAGATCCCACATGCCGCAGAGCGGGTGGGCCCGTGAGCCATGGCCGCTGAGCCTGCGCGTCCGGAGCCTGTGCTCCGCAATGGGAGAGGCCACAACAGTGACAGGCCCGCGGACTGCAAAAAAAAAAAAAAAAAAAACTGAATGGTAGAGTCAGGACTGGGTTCAAATCTTGGCCCTGCCCTCTAGCTGTTCGACCTTGGTTGAGTAACTTAACCTCTCTGTGCTTCAGTGTCCTTATCTGTGAGCTGGGAGTAATGATTGTTTCAGCCATCTGGGTAACTGGCCATGAGTGCCTGGCACAGAATTGGGTGTTCAGCAAGTAAGCACCATGATTCCCTGTAGCCCAAGAAGGGTTGAAACAGCTACTTGACTCTGACACCTGTTTCCCTGCCCTCTGCCAGTATGACAGGACAGAAACTGCAGTCAACAACCTTAACCCTGCTTTCTCCAAGAAGTTCGTCCTTGACTACCACTTTGAGGAGGTACAGAAGCTGAAGTTTGCCCTGTTCGACCAGGACAAGTCCAGCACGCAGCTTGAGGAGCATGATTTCCTGGGCCAGTTCTCCTGCAGCCTGGGCACGGTGAGCCGGGCTCCTCCAGGAGGGCGGGGTCAGTGCAGTGCCGCCATAAGTCACCTGGCTCCCAAGGATGGGGCAGCCCCCTGGAGAGTCTGCTGCTGCCTGCTTTCCCTGGTCCCGTTTTCCCGCCTGGCTCCCGAGGTGGCATCACAAATGTGGACAGCCTTGGGGGCCAGCAGGCACAGTAAGGGGGAAGTAGGCAGGTGGGGTTGGGGCCAGGCTGAAGTGTTCCCCTCGGAAGACACTGAGCACAGTGCCACACAGGAGTGGGGCGCCCTGTGGCCAGAGCTGCTCAGTGGTAGAAGTAAGCAAGTATAGTCTTGACTTCCTGGGATGGGAGCATCTGACCAGCAACCAAGACACCCACGATAGTCCCACTTGATGGCTGGCTCACTGTGTGACCTTGGGCATCTTCCTTTCCCTCTGTGGACCACATTTCCCCCTCCAGCTCACTCCTTGGTGAGCTTATGGAGATTGCAGGGCTAAGAGCTACTGATACAAGTTCTGATCATTGTTAATGGCTATGTGCCCTAGGGCGAGCCCCACACCCTTCTGAGCCTCACTTTCCCCATATTTTACTTGGGGATAGGTGATGAGCTCTCTGCCCAGTCTATAGGCATGGTGGGTGAATAAAATGGAAAATGCTTCGAGAGGTTCTAGTGGAGACTGAAATGCCCTGGGCCTTCCAGGAGATGATGTTCAATGAAAAAAGCAAGGGCCCAGCAGTTATGTAAGAAGTGGGGTGTGTCTCTCAGGGTCCCCGCCACGTGTCTACACCCTCAAAGGGTAACAGAGGAGAGAGCTTTAGGACCAGTGGGCAGGGGCAGGAACCTATAAAGGGTGAGGAAACCTTTACAGGGCTGACACCTGCCAGAAGCCCAGCCACCCCTAGCCTGGAGGGAGGGGCGGGGCAGGAAGTGGTGTTGCCAGGTCCTGGGGAGAGCTGTGGCCACCACGGGGAGGCCTCTGGACTGGGGCTGAGGCCGATGATGAGCATCAAAGCTTCCGCCAAGGCTCAGCCCAGCCCTTCTCCCCTCCTGCTCTCCTAGCTCCTGCTGGCACCCCCGTTGGCTGAACCCCAACAAGCTGTAAGCCAGGTGATGCAGTCCACTGTGGCACAGAGAAGGTGGAGAAGGGCAGAGAGTGGACCTAGGGAGAAAAAGTAGCACAGGGAGACTAGGAACTAGAAACACTGGCCTTTTCCCCAAGAAACAAAACTGTGGTGGCACAAGGAGGGTGTGGGAATGGGGTGTACAGAGACGGGTGGGAGGGAGACTTTACAACGTGTTCCACTTGTCCTTTCTATATTGTATTGATCCTTGAACTCTGTGTGAATGTATTCACTATTCAAAGCAATGAAAATACATAGGAGGAGTCAGGGTTTGATCCTCTCCATCAGGGATCACACCCTGAGGGAGGGTGGGGGTCTCTGGATGACTCTGGGGGAGGCAGTTACGCGGCTAACCTCCCTTCAGCCGTCTCCAGAAAGTGAGCCTTACAAGAGCCTTTTCCTGGGGACATCCAGGTCAGCAGAATCCGACTGCTGGGATTCTGTCCCAGCTGTGGGACCTCGGGCAAGTGTCTTAACCTCTCTGGGCCTCAGTCTCCTCAGCTGCCCGGTGGGGTTAGCAGTGGTTGCTGTCTGCCTCCCATGGCGGGGATCACGCAGGGGGAGGTTTAGCCAGCGCCTGGCATGGAGCATCGTGCTGTGAGCAGTGCCTGTTGAGGATTTTTTCCTCCCTGGGTCTCCTCCCCAGCCCTCAGAGTGAGTGCCTCTCCTCTCTCCCTCCAGATCGTCTCCAGCAAGAAGATCACTCAGCCTCTGCTGCTGATGAATGACAAGCCTGCGGGGAAGGGCTTGATTACGGTACCAGCCCCCCTCGCCGCTCTCTGCTCTCTGCAGGCCCCCCACACACTGGCCACTGCCCTCCCCCATCAATGGGCCACTTCACTGGCAGATAATCACCAGCTTTGTTTGGAGTAAAAAGGCCCAACTTACAACTTAGCAACAGGCCTCTTAGCAACGGGCTCCTGGCTCCACATATGATGTGTTGGGGCTGCCAAACCGGGGAGTGGGGGGCACTGCCAGGGGTCCCCACGGTGGCTCCCCAGGCAGGGGCGCTACTCCTCCTCCCTGGAGGCCTCCAGAGCCCTCCCTGCATCCACTCCCGGCACTGGCCCCTTGGGCGACTTTCAGGCGTTTCAGGGCCTTGCCCGTCAGAACTCTGCTTGTGGCTGCAATGCGCAATGATTCCTCTGATGCACAATGATCCCTATGAAGCGCAGTGATTCTTGCGATGCGCAGGCCCTTTGAGCGGCTGAGCTCTTGGGTCATTAGAATTCCGGAAGGCAGGGAAACCTGGTTTTACAGATGAGGGAACTGCATCCCAGAGAGGAAATGCCCTTGGGCGGTTCAGCTAGTGAGGTTCACCCCTAGATTGTCCCTCTTCAGAGCCTGTGTGACGCCAGGGGTTCTGGAGGGAGGAGGGCTGTACCTGTGTGTGTTCCCAGGCCTTACTCCCCTGCCCTGGAGCCTTCCTGGCTCCCCACTGCCTGTGGAGCCATGCATTCCAGGCTGGGAGGGACCCAGCAGTCTCAGCTGTTTTTTACCCCGTTCATGTCCATGGCCTGTGTTCAAGGCAAACTGAATTCTTAGCATACCCTGCACTTACCCCAGGCCCTCATCCACTGTTCCTGCCACCTGGAATGTCCCCTCCCAGCCTCCCCCATCTCTTGGGGTTTAAAGCCTCCCCATCTAAATGCCTCCACAAGCCAGCTGCCCTCCACATGGAAGCCAGCCCAGAAGGACCCCACCCAGCGGGTATGCCATCCTCCAGCATTTCCAGCAGTTCGCCTCCAGACCTGGGTTCTGTCCTCTTGTGAAATGGGGGCAGTAATAGGGCCTACCCTATGGGGTTGTTGAGCAGGTCTCAGCTGGAGGGGAGGAAGGGGAGAAGGGGCCTCTAGCCTGGCCTCTGTCTGTGGTTCTCAGGGTCAAAGAGCTCGTTAGGTGAGGCCATCCTAGAGGTGTGGGAGCAGAGGAAGTCCTAGCCGAGGGAGGGCCCTGGCCACTTGGGTTGCTGTTGGCCAGAGGGCCTTCCCTGCCACTCTGGGGAGGTGAGAGGGAGAGGCCCAGAGAGGGCAGATGGCAGCCTCGAGGTCACCCAGGTGGTGCATCACTGGCTGGCCTGGGGCAGAGGGCCATGGCTGATGGGGAGGGCATGGAGGATAGATGAGTGGTGTGAGCTGACGAGACAGCAGAGGGAGCTCGGGTGGTCCCTTGCCTGCCCTGGGCCTCAGTTTCCCTGGCTGCACAGTGAAGTTGTTAGAATTTCCGACACCTTGGTGTTTTGAAGGGGTTGTGTGTGCTCCCTGGATCTGCAGTGGGGACATGAGAGGGTCTGTCAGGCTGCTCGCTGGCCCAGAGCCTCTCTCTAGGGCTCAAGACCACCCTCCATATTTGGTCCCTGCTTCATCTCCCCGCCACCATCTCATGGCCCATCTCTTGAGCCACATTGGGGTCACTTTCTGATTCCTCATATCCACAAGAGTTATTACCCCCATCTTCCAGAAGATGGAAACTGAGGTTTGAGGAAGACGAGAGACTCGTCCCAGGTCACCTGGCACTACTCTTCCCCACCATTCCCCTCCTAGCCCTGGAGAATTGACTCCTGGGGCAACCTGTGTCCACCCTGCCTGAACGGAGGCCAGAGGGAGTCTCAGGACAGACCCCCGACCCCCGACGTTCCTCTGGCCTTACAGATTGCTGCCCAGGAGCTTTCAGACAATCGGGTCATCACGCTGAGCCTGGTGGGCAGGAAGCTGGACAAGAAGGTGAGGCAGGCAAAGGAGGGGGCTCTCCATCAAGGAGCAGGAACCCTCCCCCAGCCCTGGGGTTGTGTGGCCTGGGACTTCTGGCCACCACCTTCATTGCCCCTCCAGGGACAAGTCCATAGCACACGGCCCTACTGCCACCCCAAATTAGGACTGCTGCACCACTGAGGTAGTGAGTTTCCTATCACTTAGAGATATTCGAGACATGGCTGGAAACCCACTCCTTGGGGCTCCCCATCCCACGTAGTGTAAATGCTAGGGTCCTTACAGTAACCTACAGGACCCCACCTGATGTGTCCTCAGCTCCCCCCGACTCCCTGACCTCACCCCTTCTGCATTCCCTACTTTCATTCAGTTTTAGCCAAATCAGCCTCTTCATTGTCCTAGGATTAAACCAGGCACTGTCCTGCCTCAGGACCTTTGCACTTGCTGCCTTTTCTGCCTGGGATGTTCTTTACCCTGAATATTCTCATGACAGGCCCCTCTCTCACCTCCATGTCATCTCCTAGTGAGGCCTTCCCTGAAATTGCAGTGGTCCCTGATATCCTGCCCCCTACTCCTTTATTTGTCTCCTTAACACTAATTGCTGCCTCACGTATATTACTTACTCATTTATTTTATGTCTCCCCCTCTTGAATATAGCCTCTTTAGAGTCCATGTTTGCTTAAATAAATGGAGTTTTAAAGGACTCTTCTGCTAGGATAGTTTGTTTTTCAGAATCCCACTAAAATGAATTAAAATCCCATCCTGCTGGGTGCCTCCCTCTGCCCTGGGAACAATCTCCCTCTTGACGTCCTGCCCCACTGAAGATGCTGGAATTGTAACTCCTACAGGCTCCAGGTCTTAGGGTCTCTGAGCCCAAGCTCTGGTAACCCCAGGATGGGGCAGTTTCTCCTGGGGCTGCTGCTTGGTCCCAGGGGGCTGCAACTGCCCTGGGCGTCTGCTGAGCCCTGCAGAGGCTGAGGGGAGAGGGGCCAGGCTGGCTCTGCCCACAGCCCTCACTCCTGATGCCTGGTGTGGGAGGCAGTGGGGCCACACCCCCACCCCATCTGAATCCGGTGGAGTTATGCCTTCCTCACCCACATCCTCCTGCTTCCTCCAGGACCTCTTTGGGAAGTCAGACCCATTTCTCGAGTTTTATAAACCAGGAGGTGATGGCAAGTGGATGCTGGTCCACAGGACTGAGGTGGGTGTGTGGGGCTCCAGGGGTCTCTGAGCCAGTGGGTCTGTAGTCCGGCCACACCCAACAGCTCAGGACGGGGCTAGGCAGTCACAGTCCTGCGGTACACAGGAAAACCCAAACTGGCCCCTAAAGGACTTGCTCCCTCCCCATCACAGGGATGCTCACTTCCATCCCCAGAGGCATGGCTGTGGGTCTCTCCACCTTGCCACTCCCTGTCCCATGGCCCAACCCCAGAGCTGTACTGGCCCTGGGCCTGAGTTCACCCTTGCCTCTCACTGTCCTGCAGGTGATCAAGTACACTCTGGACCCCGTGTGGAAGCCATTCACTGTGCCATTGGTGTCCCTGTGTGATGGGGACGTGGAGAAGCCCATTCAGGTGAGGGGGGCTATGGGAACCCTGCTGCCCACCCTACCAGCTCCGGCCTCCTGGTTACCTGAGGCTTCCTGGGGGTGCCTTGGCAAAGCTCTGGAAAAAGAACCCTTGTGGGGGGAGGGGCAGGAGACCTGAGTCCTTGTCCCAGGTCTGCCTGACCCTCTGAGTGATCTGGGCAGGGCCCTCATCTCTGTGATTGCCTTGTCTAAAATGGAAACAGAGTGACTGCTCTTTTTTTCCCGGAGGGCTGTGTGCTGCTAGCTAGGATAATGAATGCAGAATCACCTTGGAAACAGCCAAGTGTTGTTGCTGTGATGAAGGTGATGATTACTAGTCTCTGAAAGCCCTAAGTCCTCAGGGGCCGTGTCTGAGAGCAGACGAGGTGAGGCGAGGCCCTGAGACCATGTAGGGATCCCCAGGCAGGGCACCAGGAAACTTGGGTTCTAGTTCTGGGTCTACTACTGCCACTGTGAGACTTTGGGCAAGTGCTTCCCACTCAAGGCCTCAGTTTACCCATCAGTACAGTGGGTACAACAGTTCCTGCCTTCCTTCTAGGAGTGTCATGGCAGCTAAGTTAGAGAGCATATCAAGCTGGAACTTTTTGTGCCCATCTCAGGAAAAAAATACCAGTCTGGGGAGGACTCCAGACCATGGCCCATGAGGCCAGGTGGGCCACAACCCAAGATAGATTAGCAGCCCAGTGTCAGGTGTGTGAGGTGTGCAGCTTCCTGCTCCAGAGGGAATGGCCTCCATTACTAGAGCAGGCACCCTGTCTCCTTTTCCCGGCAATCATGGAAGGCTTCCTGCAGGAGGCAGTTCAGGAGCTACCAGCATCATCCCAAGCCAGCTAGTCAGATCTGGAGGGGAGAGGGAGGTACCACCTGCCAAAAAAGGCATGGGATTTGCTCAGGGAGCTGAGAGGAGCTGGCGAGTGCCTCCTGTGGGGCAGCTCTGGGGTGACTCGCTGGACCCACTCCAGGTTATGTGCTATGACTATGACAACGACGGGGGCCATGACTTCATCGGTGAGTTCCAGACCTCGGTGTCACAGATGTGTGAGGCTCGTGACGGCATCCCGGTAAGATGTGCACATGCGCGTGACCCCAGGACCTCGGCAGGGGATGGGGAAGGGGCACAGGTTTTTGAATCAGGCAGACTGGGGCCCAGATCCCACCTCTCTGCCTTATGACCTTGAGCAAGACATTTAATCTCTCTGAGCCTCAGTTTCCCCATCTGTCAAGTGGAGGCAGAAGAGTAGAGTGGGAATTAAATGAGATTAAACAGGTAAAGCACCTAGTGCATAGTGAGTACTCGGGAGCTGTCTATTTAACTCTGAGAAGCCAGGCTCTGGGCAACAGTTCTGGGTGCATGAGTGGACATGACATGGATAAGTTGTCTGGGGATGGAGGGCAGATGCACATCTTCTGACCTTGGGCAGATATAGCTTGGCATGAGCCCAAGGTGGCAGGAACCATTTCTGGGGGTGGGGCTTCCTGGAGGAGGCATGCTGCCCCTGTGGAGTAGATTCTGGGGCCTAGGAGAGGGTCAGTCCCCACAGAAGCCCCAAGCTGAGCTCCTCTTTCTTCTATGTTGCCCAGCGGGAGTTTGAGTGTATCAACCCCAAGAAGCAGAAGAAGAAGAAGAACTATAAAAACTCGGGCATCATTATCCTGCGTTCCTGCAAGGTGAGCCAGCATGGGTGGGCATGGGGCACAGTCCCGGTTTGGGGTCACACAGAGGTATATCACTGCACAAGAGACAGAGCGTTGGGTTTGGAGCCAGCAAGCCCTGGGTTCAAATCCTGGTTCTGCCATGTCCTGGCTCTGTGACCTGAGCTTAACCTCCCTGGGCCTCAGTCTCCTCATCTACAGGATGGGAAGGTTAACAAGGTAAAGCATGTAAAATGTTAGTCTCATATCACATTCCTTTGTGGAAGTCAAGGAGGGCATGCGATGACCTTCCAGGGTCTCCTTGTTGGAGCGTAACTATAGGGAGTTACTGCTTCCCAGGCTTGCCCATTGCATGTTCAGCATCAGAGGGGCAGAGGATATCAGGCCAGGGTGCCCTGTGCTCTGGCAGTGACACTAGTGAGGGCTGAGGTTACTGGCCCGTGGTGTAACTGGGGCCACTGAAGTCCACAAAGACAGTGAAGTTTGCACCGGCAGTGGCCAGGCTGAGGTCAGGGCCCAGGCCCCCCTGGATATCTGGTGGCCACGTATCTGCTGGAATTGGGTAGAACGTTAAGGAAGGCAGCCCAGGCCAGAGCAGCAAGAACCCTGGATGCTGGGCCTGAAGGTTCCAAGTCCTGGCACTCTCTCTACCAGCTGGCCAACCCCAGGCCTCAGTTTCCTTGTCTGGAAACTAGGATTTACGTGAGCGTTCAGTGAGGTCACAACGTAGCAGTGCCCTGTAGAAGTTAAGCTGGCAGGTTGCAGCATCATGATTTCGGGTCCTTGTTTCTGAAACTTGGGTCATTCACATCCCTCTTCATGATTTTTTCCACCTGCCTTATTATGTTTTGTATTCAGCCCCTCCTCCCCCCATTTTGGTGTCTTTTTTTACTTAAATACATGTATTTTGAAAGGAACCTTTCTAACGCCACCAAAATTGGAAGGCCAGTATCCTTTGCCAAAAGGAGGCAAAGACCATCCAAACAAACCATGTTTTAGCAGCTTTATTAATTATTAATTTAAAGCAGAAGGCCTTGAGCCAGAGGCCTGGCCTCTCTCTGTTCAAAGTTGAGGTTGGTAAGGGCTACACTGGTCCCTGGGACACTGCCTGGACTCATCATGCGTGTGTGTGTGTGCGCGTGTGTGTGTCCCACCTACTGGTCCCTGGGACACTGCCTGGACTCATCATGCGTGTGTGTGTGTGTGTGTGTGTGTGTGTGTGTCCCACCTACTGGTCCCTGGGACACTGCCTGGACTCATCATGCGTGTGTGTGTGTGTGTGTGTGTGTGTGTGTGTGTGTGTGTGTGTGTCCCACCTATTGGTAACCATTGCTCTGAGTGCTTTGTTATAGAGGGATTTGGGTTTTGTTGTAACCAGATCAGGTCCATCTGCCTTTTTCCGCCTCCTTGACCCCTGTCAGGGCACAGAGCAACAACTCCCCAAAGGTCATCTGTGGAGTGTGACCAAGTGAAGGTGAGCCCTCAGGTACAGGGCAGGGGCCCACTCACCCCTCTGATTCCTTCCAGATAAACCGGGACTACTCCTTCCTGGACTACATCCTGGGAGGCTGCCAGCTCATGTTCACTGTAAGGCTCTCCCCCATCCCACCCCACCCCAGTGAGGATCCTCCCTAAGGGCTTGGGCCATGATTGCAGCAGGAGGGACTTGGGATAAACTTCAGGAAGGACCCTCCCCAGGGCAAGGGGTGTGTCTGGCCCAGAGGAGAGGGTATATAGGTGGATAGGCCTGAGTCAGAGCTTAGCTGCAGGTCAGGGCCTGGCTGCCCAGCCCTCAGAATGTCACTGGTTACACTTCCTCAGACGGAAAAAAAACCCAAATTCCTCCCCACTTCCCTTCCTGCCTCATCTGCTGTGCCCTCATCCTTGCTCGCTCAGCTCCATCCACACTGATCCTCCCCCAACACGCTAAGCTCTGCTCTGTCTTGGGGCTTTGCATTTGGTGTTCCCACTGCCTGGAATGCTCTTCCCCAGAACCTTCTCTTGGCTGCTGCCCTGCCATCATGCAGGCTGTGACACAGAGGTCACCTCCCCCCCCGATGCCTCCTGTTCCTCTTGTCACTTCTCCTGTTTTATTATCTTCAGGGCACTCGCCATTCTGAATTTTCTTCAGTATTTTTCACTTGTCCCTGTCCCACTAGCGACTAGTGACTGTGAGTGTCCTGAGTGCGGGGCCACTGTTTTTTTTTTTTTTTCCCCTCCACCCTCGGTGTATCACTCAGTGCCCGGCACATAGCACCTGCTCAGTATATGCTCATAGGAAGAATGAATTGTCACTCTGCCGGTGGCCTGGAGTGTATGCCCCATAGACTTCTCCCGTTCCTCACCTGAAGGGAGGCCTCAAGCCCAGAGGAGAACTCCTGCCAGGGTCCCATACTCTGCCCACCTCCCACCTAGCCTCCCTGCTCTCTATCACTGCTTCTGATCCCATGGGGGCTGGAAGTCATCTGCAGGACTATAAGGAGGCGCAGGGGATTGGCCTTCTTGACCTGTAACCCCACTGGTCATCACAGCCCCCCTCCCCTGCAGAGAGGCTGGGCCCTGTTATTCCTCCTGCGTGCATGTGTTCACTCAGCAAATGATACCAAGCACCTCCTGTGTGCCAGACTCCAGGCCGTGCCCTTGCAGGGGTCCCTGACGGGTCCTAACTGAGTTCTCAGGTGGCCATCTCATGCCCTGGGTCCCTCTCCTAGTCCTCCCCAGCTGGGCAGTCTTGCCCACCCCTCTGTGCTGGAATCCCCTCGGGGCTGAGAGAGCAGGTGGAGCCCAGTACCCTGCCCACCCGCCAGCTCCAGCTCCCTGTGGGGCAGCCACCTGGGCCTGGCTCCAGTACCCTGCCCACCCGCCAGCTCCAGCTCTCTGTGGGGTACCCACCTGGGCCTGGCTCCAGGCCCATGTGTCTTACCTGCAGTGACCATCCAGTCTGACTGGGAAGGCAGGCACTGCCCTGCCAGGCAGCCCCAGGTCCTGGTGCCCCTTGGTGGTCTGAGGGGTGATGGGGAGATGGCTTGGTGCGGGGGCGAGATGTCTGGGAAGGCTTCAGTGGGGCAGTGGCATGAATTGGGCCTGCAAATTGGAGGAGAATTAGATAGGGAGACGAGGTGGCCTGGCTCTTCAGGTAGAGGGAAACTCATGAAAAAAGACCTGGAAATGGGAGTAGATGAGTGTGTGGGTTGGGACAGTGAGGGGGGGAAAAGGAATTTGGGGCTGTAAGTTGGCTTTGTATCACATCTGGGCAATAGACTTTATGCTTGGGCAACAGGGAGCCACAGACGGCATTAGAGCCAGAGGAGTAATACAGTCAGACAGTTTCCAGGTTTTGGACCATCTTTTGGAAGGGTGGGTCAGGGCTGGGAGATGAAGTGGGCATCCTGTGTCCCATCAGCCTGTCTGTTCCCTGGAGGTGAGATAGGGAGCTGGAGTCTCTGGCCACACTGGGTGGCCTTTTTCCCCACTCTGCAGGTTGGGATAGACTTCACAGCCTCCAATGGAAATCCCCTCGACCCTTCCTCTTTGCACTATATCAACCCCATGGGCACCAATGAATATTTGTCAGCCATCTGGGCTGTTGGGCAGATCATTCAGGACTATGACAGGTAAGCTTGGGGAGGGACTCTGACTAGTCAGCTTGGGCTCCATCCATCCTGGGAAGTTCAGCTTTTCAAAGCTAGAAGGGACCCAGAGATCATCAAACCTAGGAATGAGTAGCATAGGACATGCATGCAGTTACCATCCCTTCCTATACCTGTGGCAGACATTGCTAATCAACTGCTGATCTCTGACTTACTGAGCCCAGATCCATACTGAGATCCTTCTCCACAGGGTACACCGAGTAAGAAAATGAGTCAGGATAGAAAATGAAATTTGCTATTGCTGCAGCCTCCACTGTTAAGAGCTGGGGGGAAACAGGCCTAGGATGTAGATAGAGAATTTATCCAAAGTCACCCAGATCAAGGAACTGGAACCCAGACATTTTGATTCCTGTACCCGCCACCTAATGGCCTAACAGTCTCACTCCTGTTGGGAACTTCATAGGAGCAGCCAGCATGTGTGGGTCCTCTTCCCATGACCACGCTTCCTGGAGATCTTTGGGTGGGGTGGGGACAGTGGAGAGTCAGGGAAAGCTGTGTAGAGGGTGTGGCCACCAACAGGCTGGGCCAGATGCAAAGTCAAGAGGGCCTTGGAGGATCCAGAAGTCACTTGAGGGTTGTGATGTCATTGTCACAGATGGTGCTTGTTCGGACCTCCAGGTCAGAGTGTGGAATGACCAGGAGGACACATGGGAAGCAGGGGAGAAAGGAGCATGTCCCACAAATTTGGTAGGAACAAGAGCAGGTTCAGGAATCCTGTGTGCACTTCAGCCTCCTTGAGAGAGGCAGCCTAAGGTGCAGCTTCTGACTCCCAGGGGGCTCAGGGCCTAAGGGGTGGCTGTGACCCCACGCCACATTAAGAGGGGTATGGCATGCAGAGCAGGGGAGGTGGAAGTCCCCACCTGCATGGTCGGGTGGAGGAGCCTGCTGTTGCTGCTCCAGAGACCCTTGTATCCAGCTACCCACTCAGCCCCTTTGCTGAGCCTTCTCATGGGCATTCAGGCGTTACTGGACACTTGCTCCACCCCTACCCCTCTTACCCTCTTCCCCATCTCAGGGAGAGGCACTACCACTCACTGAAAACCCTTCACTTCCTTTCTTTCCTTCATCTCCCCCATCATTCCTTCAGGAAATCCTTTCAAAATATGCTTGAATCCAGCCTCTTCTCCCACCCCTACTGCTACCAGCCTGTTTGAGCCACCATCACCTCCTGCCCAGAGCAATTCAGTAACCTTCTCACTGGTCTTCCTGCTTCTGCCCTAGTCCCTGACAGTTTGTCCTCCACACAGCAGCCAGAGGATTCTTCAATAAATACATGTTGAATGAATGAACAAATGAGATACAGTCCCTGCCCTCAGGGAGATCCCGTTCGATGAGGAAGATAGGGAAGAAATCAGTGGGGTTCCAAGAGACCGGTTTACATGTGAGACAGGAGCTATGGGAGCACCAAAGAGAGAGGCATCCTGGGGTCTCAGGGAAACCCACAGAGAATGGGCCATTTGAATTGGGCCTTAGAGGATGAGTAGGAGTTTTCCACAGGGAACAGATTGGGAGAGGTAGTTCAACAAGGGGTGCAATAGGATTGAAGTTGGAGCGTGAAGATGCCCTGTGTGTTTGGGGAACAGTGAGTAGCCAGTGGCCAGGGCTGGCGGAGTGGGGAATGAGGGAGGGCAGGCAGAAAATGAGACTAGGCTCTTGGTGAGCCTAGTGATGAAGGGTCTTGAACGCCAAGCCAGTGTTCTCATTTTAGAATTTTTCCCAGCCATAAAAGGGACATCAAGAAACAGCCAGTACATTTCACTTGCATCATGACTATAGTTTAGTGATTGCCAAGGTCCCCGTTTGAGAAGGATCTAGAGGCTGTACTCAGGCCCATGGTTAGGAGTGCTGTGGTTGATTAGCAATGTCTGCCATAGATGTAGATGGGGGTCAAGCCTCTTATTCACCAGATACCCAGAAGTGGGCTTGGGCTCAATAGATCATTCAAACAGAGCTTTTTCTAGAGGTGGTGAGCTTTTTCTTTTTGTCCGTGGAGGTATGCAAGGCAGAGTGGGCCCAGCCCTGGGTAGGGGGTTGGGAGGGTGAGCGTGGGTAGATGAGGCCCCTGTCTGGTTGTCTCACAGTATTTTTTTCTCCTTTCTCTGATTAGTGATAAGATGTTTCCAGCTCTTGGCTTCGGGGCGCAGTTACCCCCAGACTGGAAGGTAAGTGGAGCCAGACTGTTTTCCTTTTGGCTGAGATGGGATTTGCATGTATGGTCTCTCTGGGGTCTGCTTTGGAAAGGTTGGGCTATGGCCCAGCTGCCCTGCCTTCTCTGCGTTTACCCCAAACCCACATGCATTTCTCAGCCTGAACCTCATGCAGGCAGTGGGGCTAGAACAAGGAATAAGTTATGATATCTGTCCCCTGGTACCCCAGTCAGGTGGGGAAGATGCTAGATCTAGCAAATAAAAATACAGGATACCCAGTTAAGTTTGAATTTCATATAAAGTTGTTTAAGTATGTCCTAAATATTGCCTGGGACATACTTAAACTAAAAAATTATCCATTATTTATCTGAAATTCAAATTTAACTGGGCATCCTGTATTCTGTCTGGCAGCCCTAAAGACAGGCAGTGTCATCAGTGCTGAACGGGGCAGCAGTCCCTAGAGGAGGGCCCCAGCCTGGCCTGGGGGTATCAGGAAGGCTTCCTGGAGGAGGTCAGGTCTAAGCCAAGAGGGGAAAGGAGAGTAGGAGTTTGCAGAGTGACTTGAGGTGGTGACGTGGCAGGTAGAGTTCAGGGCAGAGAGAATAGCCTGTGCAAAGTCTGAGAGCAGGGTGGTTGGAAGAACTGAAAGAAGGTGGGCGTGATGAACTCTCCATGAAAGATGGGCAGGATGGGGAGAGATGTGGCTGGAGAGGTGGGGAGCCAGCTGTGCAGCAAGCAATGGGTGGGTCTACATGGGGTGTTATTGGCATTTTTGAAGGCTCACTCTGGCTGCTGAGTGGGGACTGGCTGGGGTGACAGTGGCAAGATGGAGGGATGGAGAGAAGGGGCAATGTCCATTACAGGTGAAAAAACAGAGGCTCAATGACTTGTCCAAGGTTACGTTCAAAACAGGGAGCCTGAATTCCATCTGGGAAGGTGGACTCTCATGTCTGTTCTCAGAATGTGCTACCCTTCTGATGAGAAGCCTGGGGCTGTGGGCATAGACGACTCCTAAATCTACATGTATGTCTCAGCCAGCGGCCCCTGTTGTCTGCCCTGCTGTACCACATGCTGTTTCCAGAGTGAGCATTCCCCTCACATCCTCTCCGGAGAGGGCAGTTTTCACCTAGAATTTCAGGGAGTGGCTCTGTGGCCTGCTGGCCATTGTATGGTAGGGGGCAGGACCCTGTGGGACCACAGCTGGGCCTCTGGGCAGACACGGTGATGCCACTGGGGGCAGGGCGGGCTGGTGCAGCCAGGCCCAGCACTATCTCGTTGCTAGGACACCAGCCAGCTTCCAAAGAACTCTGGCTGAATGAGATGTTTTCTTGCGCAAAAGCCTCCTTGGAAATGTCACAGGGCAATTCTGGGGAGGCTGGGGCTTGGCCAGGCTGGAGTGCCCAGTGGTGCCAGGAGGGATGCTGGAACGAGGCTTGGAAAGGGCAGATGCTCTATCCCACCTCCCCCTGCTGCTGGAGCTGGCCAGACCTGGCCCCTCACCTTCCCTCTCATTCTAACTCACCTCGCCGTGCCACATGAACCTTCTTCTGTTTGTTCCTACCTCAGGGTCTTTGCATGTGGTCTTCCCCTGGCCTTTTGCCCCCTTTCACTGACTTCCCATTGCTGCTGCTTAGCCAAGAGATCATTTCCTCTAGAAGGACTACCTTGAGCGTGCGCACGTGGGGCCCCTCCTCCCTGCCCTGGAACTTTGTGGTCACTCTGTATGTGTTGATTTGCTCATTGTCTCAGGGAGGGCACTTGGTCTCCTTCTTGCTGTGTCTGGCTCCAGGCATGCAGTACGTGATTGTTGACAGTAAATTTGGGGCCCAGGGGCCTGAGCAGACAGAGGTGTTGGTTCTCTGAGTGTGGGAAGTTGGAAGGAGCTAGAAGGAGCGTGCCACTCAGCTGCCTGCCCTCAGGACCTCAGTCCCTCCCTGGGCCTGGTCCAGGTAAGCCCCAAGAGGACCCCTGACCTGGGTAGTGGCTGAGGGACTCAGGAAACATTGGCCTTTCAAAATGAGCCAGAGTTAGTCAGATGAAGAGAGGGATCAGGCTGAAGGACAGGCCTGCACAAGGTCTGGGGTGGAGAGGAGCACAGTTTATGACTCTCCCCACTTTATAGATGGGAAAACTGAGGCTCAGAGAGGATGGTCACTCTGAGATCCCTTCGACTCCCTCCATGCCACCATCTACTGCCCTGCCAAGACCAGAGGGAACAGCCTCTTAAGTAACTCAAGACCATGGGCTGGGCCTGGCCAGGTGGGGCGAACGGGACCATTGATCGTCAGAAGGCAGCAGGGAGGCCCAGGGCAAAGACCTGTGGCTGGCCAGTCCCCAGGGGCCCCTGATCGGCTTGGGGTGGCCTCCAGGAAGCTTGTCGTGTTTGCTGGCATTTCTCGGGCAAACTAGGGCAGCAAGTGTGGGAGGGGGCTGGGCTGCTACAGACAACGTGAACTCCTGTCCCCCAGATCTGGTCCCAGCTCTGCTGTGGCTCACTCGTGTGACCTGGGCATTCCTTGGCCCCCTCTGAACCTCAGTTTTTCCACCTGTGAAGTGGAGCTGCTGGGTGGAGTAGATGACTTGGGAGGCCTCCAGGGTAGATGGGTAACCTCCCACAGCCCCACCCACTTGACCACCAGGCCCCACTCTCCCCTTAATAGAGGGAAAAAAATGGAGAAGGAAGAATTTGGGTGGCCGAGAAAACAATATTAATCCATCCCTATCAGGAGGGGGCTTTTCCCCCTTGGTCTATAAAATCTCCTAAAATCTGATTTTGCAGGAAGTTGTTGGCCCAAGGGAGGCCTGTTTCCCTGGCAACCATTTTCCTCTCTCAGCCCCCTCTTTACAAGCCCCCCTCTTAGTCACTATAGAGGCTCATGAAGTTTCCATGGCAACAAGGACCTCCAGCCCCCACACCTGGAGCCTGGGCTGGGGACAGGGTGAAGAAGGGCCCCTGGGCAGGAACAGGGCCCAAGAGGGGCATCAGGGGAATGGCTCCATGTCAAGCACTTAGGGCTGAGGGAGCAAAGAACAGAAAAGCCCATTCCCCTGAACAGGTAGGGGTCTTCGCCTCAGGCTGCCAGGCACAGGGCAGTGCTGGGGTGAATTCCTCTGCTGAGTCCTTCCCGTCTTGGCCCAGGAGGGCTCCCCAAGGTCAGCGGCCCAACCGCTTTACCAGGCTTGAGGGGCCTGGGCGTCAGGTCTGTTCTTCTGTGTGGCCTCAGCACCTGGCTTCCCCTCTCTGGGCCTCAGTCAGTTTACTTGTAAAATGCGGATGTCGGGCTTGGTAGGGCCTCCCAGCACCCCTCTGCAGTGTCTCGGAGCTAAAGCGTCTGCCTGGGATTTGCGCCTGGACTGGAGCGCTCCTCCAGCCTCCGAGGGTGGGGGGGTCCCTCCCCCCCTGGACATCTCTTGACTCTCCCATTTAAACTCCTCAGGAGAGGAACACCTTCTCGGGTTAGTGGGTTTATGGATTGTGAGCTCAGGGGGCAGCCTGATTTCAGTTCTAGTCCCAACTCTCCCCTTCAGTAAATGTGGGAACATTCTGGTCCATTCTGTCTCGGTTTTACATCAGAAAAAGGGAGTAATACCAGGCCTTCCTCCGTTGGATTGTTGCAAGGAAGGAGTGAGGGGATGCTAGCAAAGCCCTGAACGTAGACTGTGGCACACGGTTCACAGGGAAGGGGCCAAGTGGGGGTTTTGACGGAGGCAGCAGGGGAGGGAGGGTGGTCCTCCCATCTGAGCTCTGGCCTCTCCTGAGGCCCTGGGTTCTGCAGCCACCGAAGTCTGACCCACAGTCCTGAATGGGGTCTAGTTATCAGTCCCTCTGTAGGCCAGCGACATCCGGGAGTGTGCAGGGTCAGCCTCTGATGATGCCCCCGGGCTAGGGGCTGGGTCTGCAGGAACTGGGACAGGGCTCTCTATTCCCTGCCCTTCTGGTCCCATTATGCTTCCTGATCCCCCAGTCCAACTCTAAGTGGGTTGTCAGCTAAGCCCCAGTTTGGCTCGCTGGCATAAGGTGGGCTCCCTTCCAGGCACTCGTGCTTGTTAGTTGGATGGGGGAAAGCACTCAAGGCCCGAAGAAGTGAAACTCTAGTTATAGCCCCACCACAGTGAAAGCAGGTGACGAGGGAGCACTCCAACTGCTCCTTGAACCCGCCACCCTCAGATGCATCTCCACCCTACTCAGAGACTCTTTCTTTCCCCCCCGGCTGCTTTGGGTCTTGGTTGCTGCCTGTGGGCTTTCTCTAGTTGCGGTGAGTGGGGACTACTCTTTGTTGCAGTGCGCATGCTTCTCATTGCAGTGGCTTCTCTTGTTGAGCTCTAGGCGCGTGGGCTTCAGTAGTTGTGGCACATGGGCTCAGTAGTTGTGGCTCAGGGGCTTAGTTGCTCCGCGGAATGTGGGATCTTCCCAGACCAGGGCTTGAACCTGAGTCCCCTGCATTGGCAGGTGGATTCTTAACCACCGCACCACCAGGGAAGTCCCTAGGGATTCTTATAGTGGGGCAAGGAGGCATAGACAGCCCTGACCCCCCCCCGGAAGAGATTGGGGTGGTGTGGAAGGTTCTGTTTCTTCTGTTACTAAGTGAGGGTGGTTAGGCTTCTCTGTGGGTCAGACCCAGCAGTGGAGCTGAAAGCAGATGCAGGGGTATCAGTAGCCTTGACCTGGGGTCAGGGTGGCAAAGAGCCAGGTTCCCTCAGAGGGAGCCTTGCCTGGCGGCAGGTGGGCCTGGGCCCAGGTTTGGGCCAGGAGGCTTTCAGCTCATCATTTTCTCTGCATTTCAGGTCTCCCATGAGTTTGCCATCAACTTTAACCCCACCAACCCCTTCTGCTCAGGTGAGTGTCAAGCCCACCTGCATCTGCCCTGGGTTTACGCCAGGCCTGGCCATCTCCCTGGGCAGACGCAGGGGAGGAGTACTGGTTTCTGTTCTTTTCTCTCCCCTCCCCTTGCACTTGCTCAGTGTGGCAGATGGGGAGAAGCTGGAATTTGGAGTCAGGTGGCCCTGGATTCAAGGCCAGCTGCTGCCCTTTTCTGGCTGTGTGACCTCGGAGAGATCACTGCACCCCACTGGGCTTCTGCCTCCTCACCTGCTCACCTCACTGGGTGGTCAGGTGAGAATTAAGGGAAGTGCTGACAGAAAGCCCTGCGTAGACCAGGAGGAGGTGAGAGCAGCAAATTACACACCTGCTTCTCACCTCCCTTCTGCCCTCACTGGGAGGGCCCATTCTTGTCCTGCCCTACCCTGTTCTCCCCACCTTCCACAGGGAGCCTTGGCACCTAAGGATTGAGCATGGCTTGGGCGGGGGTGCTGGGCAAGAGGGAGGGGCAGGCAGCGGAAGTGGTGTCTGTGCTCTCCCTGCCCCAGGCCTAAGAGGACTTCTGAGCCTCCCAGAGTCAGTTAAGAAACAGTGAAAGAGAAGGGGCTCCCAGGTGGGTATGGAAGAGGGTGGTTCCTGACACCATGAGAGCTTTCAGCCTAGGACTTGCCTTGGGTGTAGCATCTACCTTCCCTGGGAATCCCTGAAGCTGGGTCAGGTTTGTACTTGGAAGGGAAATGCATCAAGTCACCACAATGGGGATGATGCTATAACTCAGAAGCCATGGGCCTCTGCCTCTGTTGGCTGAAAGCGTGGCCCTGTCCTCCTGCTGGGGCCTGTCTGGTTTGGAGCAGGTCTGCTGAGATGTTTTATCCAAGTTCAGATTGGTCGACCTCATCTCTGGCCAGAGGCCTTCTGGACAGGACAGCAGAGCAGGGGCGGGTATTCTTGTAACGGTGGCTATTTACAGAGCACCTACTGTCTGCAGAGCTATGCAAGCATCTCAGTCCCCCCAGCAACCCTGAGAAGCCATAGCGTGTCCAGAATGGACCTCCAGGTGGCTCCCTGTGACCCCAAAGTGTCACCGCAGGTTCTGCCCGCCCCTTCTCTGGGAGGAGCCTGCTGGACACCCTCCTGCCAGCTTCCCGAGGGTGTAGATTACTAGTCTCCTTGACAGACAAGGAAAGAGGCTTAAATAACTTCCCCCAGATCCCACAGCTAAGAAGTGGTAAAGGCAGACATTGGAACTCAGGTCAGACTCCACGTTCAGGGCTCTTTACTTTACACCACTCTGGCCCTGCCCTCTGGAGCTTCCAGTACCACAGGGCCCAGACTGGCCACGGCAGGGGCATTTGGGGTGGGCAGCAATTGGGATGAAAGTGGGTGCAGGGTCAGGGAGGACCTGGCTGATCCAGAGTCTTCTCCCCGAGGCAGGCGTGGACGGCATCGCCCAGGCATATTCGGCCTGCCTGCCCCATATCCGCTTCTACGGTCCCACCAATTTCTCTCCTATCGTCAACCACGTGGCCCGGTTTGCGGCCCAAGCCACGCAGCAGCAGACAGCCATGGTGAGTAGGTGATCACTGGCGTGGACGTGCAGGATAGGGCTGGCACCGGCTGGGCCCTTCCCTGCCAGATGGAGGTCTGTTCTTCCTACCCTACCTACCTGTGGGGCTGCCTGGCGAGCTAGATGTTCTGCCTCCCCTTGTTCTAAACTCCTAGGTGAGCCCCGGCCTCTCCACCTTAGTTTACCAGCAGGGATGTGAAGGGGGTTGGAAGCAGCTCAACTTGACTGGCTCTGGATTCCTGGAGCACAGACTCCAGGACAGACAGCAATTCCATTCGTTCGGTGCTTAGTAGGAAATGGGGCTGTGATTAATGGGAAGTGCCTCCAGGCAGAGGGAAACCCGGAGACTGTAGTCCCTGCAGCCCTCAGGCTGACCCTCTGGGCCACCTAGTTCCCATTAGAGCAGCTGCCACCTCACGCTGAAGGGTTTGGAACCGTATGGCCCGGGTCCGGTGCTCAGTGACGAGGCTCAAGCCTGAGGCTGCCAGGGCTGCTGTGTGGCATCTGGAATATATGGCAAACGGCCATCCTGGGCAGCTGCATCCCAGGTCCTCTCCCTGCACCCAGCTCCAGGCCCAGTGCCAGTGCTGGAGTCACCAAGTGTCACCTTGCCCACCTCGCCTGCCATCCACCAGCCCCTGCCCCAGGGCTACTGCTGCGAGGAGCTGAGCCAAGTCTGGGAACCCAGCACCCGGCCCTAGGGTGGTGGAGCCCGGGCTGGGACGTGGGTCCAACTCTCACCTGACCAGGCCCCCGAGCCACCGCCACAGCCGCTGCCCCTGTGCAGGCTTCCTCCTCCCCTGGAAGGAAAGGGTTGCTGCACAAGTGCTGAAGTCCTTTCCTGACTGTCCTTTTCACTCTGCCTCCAAAATACTATCCTCAACTCGCCCACTTCCCCATTGCCACGGCCACTGTCATCTCTCACTGGACACCACGGCCGTCCCCTCACCCCTCTTGCCCCTCCTATCCATGCTCCTGCTAGAGGGTCCTTTAACTGTGCACATCAGATCCTACCCCCTCCTGGCCTCTCCTTCCCACAACCCCACACCCCTTCCTTTACTTGTGACCATTCCACCACTGACCTTGTTCCTATTCCTCAAAGACACCAAGCTTGTCTCCCAGCAGATCCTTGTTCTGCCGTCTTCTGCTTGGAGGTTCTTCTCCTCTCTCCCTGGCTTGCTCTGTCCCATCCCTCAGTGTCCCTCAAACGCCACCTCCCTGCAGCCTTCCTTGCCCACCCACTTGAAACCTATCTCCTGCCTTCTCTGTTTATTCCCGTCTGGACTCTGATGATGGTGGCAACATCTCCGTCACATACTCCGCGTTTCTGTCTACTGGGTGTCTCCCTGGTTGGCCTCTCAGCCCCACAGGGCCAGGCTGTGTCTGTGTGTTGTCCGTCATCTACTTGGTGGCCTATGCTGTGGCAGACGCTCGTGTTCTGGGAACGGATGGATTTAAGTTGGCCCCTGTTGTGTGCTGTGCACTGTGCGAGGAGCTGGGAGGAGGTGACTCAGCCAGGGCCTCTCTCAGAAGGAAAGGAACCTGGTCCCATTGGGACTGCCCAGAGGAGGGAGGCACCTGCTCAGTCACTGAGGTAGAGGTTGCCTTCCCGAAGATGGAGACAAAGATAAAAGAAGGGGAGGTTATGAGAAAGAGAGGAGCACACCAGGGCCAGCCTGGGAGGCAGGGCCAGCCTGGGGAGGGTATGTGTGGTCTGTCTGGGAGGCAGCAGAGGGTCTGTGGGAAAGGGGGTCCTGGGGTCAGCCTGCCAGGGTTTGAATCCAGCCCCTGCCCGTCCCTCACTGGGTGACCTGGGTAAACTTACCCTCTCTGAGCCTTGTTTGTACCATAGGAATACTAATAGGACCTACCTTAAGGAGGTGGTGTTAGGATTAAATGTGATAACACAACAGCTGGCACCCAAAGAGACCTGAGGATGAGGAAGGACAGGTGGCAGAGCATTCTGGGAAGAGCCCCCCAGGCAGAGGGGATGGCAGATGCCAGGGATGGAGGTCAGTGCACGATGTCAGATTGAAGATGGTCCTGGTCATTTCTGCTTCAGGGAGCATGACTTGCTCTAGTCCTGGTCTTGGTGATGGCAGCTGAGGGCCTGAGACAAGTCCCTTCCTGTTCTGAGCCTATTTCCTTTATGAAATGGGACAAGTAAGCCCATCTGAATGGGACAACAAGTGGGGAGGACCTGGGAGTGGCATTTTTAAATTCCTGGGGTGCTGGGCTAGAATTGGATGGAGAGGGCAGAGTGAGGGGCAGCCCCTCAGCTTGCACACCATTTGGATGCCTAAGCCAGACAGGCCATTGTCCCGCCCAGACTTTTATCTGCCTGAACCAGCTTTCAGAGGGAGCCTGCATTCTTGTTTAAGGGGAAAAAATGGGGCGGAGCAGGAATCCATTGTCCCGCCCAGACTTTTATCTGCCTGAACCAGCTTTCAGAGGGAGCCTGCATTCTTGTTTAAGGGGAAAAAATGGGGCGGGGCAGGAATGAAGGCCAGTGTTCCTCTCAGGCTCTTTCACCTGGCAGGCAGGGGCAGGACTGGGCTGGAGATGAGGTCCTGGGGAGAAGGGGCCTGTCTCTGCTGGATCCTAGGTCTGGAGGGGCTTGGGCCCTGGGGACCACCAGGAGGGTGTCTTTGCATTCTGTGGAACAGCTGCTGAGGGCCCTCCAGAGGGAAGAACTGGGCCCTTTCTGTGAACAAGTCCTAATCCTCACAGTACCCCAGCCGCTTTCGTGGTGACCAGGCCCTCCCAACCTGAGGAGGCAGCCTTCCCTGGCTCCCTCACCCTGGGGAAGCGCTGTCACCCACCCCAGCTGTGTGACTTTGGGCCAACATCTCTGGGCTGCAGGAGGCGAGCCAGGGGTCTCTACTGGCCTCTCCTACTCTGATGTCCAAGAAGATACAGATAATTCTCTACCTCCTGCCTTTACTCCGTCCATCTCACCGTGCACTGAAGGTGGGGATGCCTCAAGGTTTGGAGGCCTATCGACCTGGTTCAAACCCCAGCTCCTGCACTTCCTGTGTGACCCAGAGCAGGTTGCTTATTAAGCTCTCTGAACTTCAGTTTTCTCACCTGTACAATGAGGATGATGGAACAGTACCTGCCTAATAGAAGCATTGCAAGGATTCAACCAGCTCGGCCTCCAAATTGCTCAGCACAGCGCCTGGCACACAATAGCACCTAATAAACGTGACCGGATGAATCTTCTTAGGACACCTCTTGGGCTGGCATTTGGTGATGCTGAGCCCATGTAGGCCTAAAGCAAAAGGAAATAATTTGTGCATTACCTGATGCTTTCATACAGCTGCTTTTTGGGAAACACTTGTGTGGCTTCATCCTCCCTGTCCCCCACACACGAACATGCACACCCACGCACAGGAAATCAAGAGCAGATGGTGGAAGCATCCCTCTAGGCAGGCCTGTGTTCTCCCATTCATTCACACAGCTCATCTCTACCGCGTATGTTTCTCTGCGGCACTGGGGAGACCATGATGCGCAAGCCATAGCCTCTGCCCTTCCAGGGCCTGTGGTCTTGTGGGGAGCCAGGCCAGGAACAGCAGCTGTGATGCCAGCCAATTAAAACTGTGATGACGGAATTATAGGACTATGAAGGTGGCATCTAACCCAGAGGGCTCAGGGCAGGCTTCCTGGAAAAGTGACATCCAAGCTGAGACTTGGAGGATGCTTAAGAGTTAGTCTCGTAAAGGGTGTGTATGTGTGTGCGTGTGTGGAGTGTCCTGGGCAGAGGGAACAGCATAGGCAAAGGCTTGGAGGCATGGTGTGTGGTGTAACTAAGGGAAGGAGTGTGATGTAAGAGGGGTGGGTAGGCCAGCTCCCACAAATGCCTTTGAAGCCAGTAAGGAATCTGGATTTTCTCTTAAGGGCAGTGGGGAGTCACTGAAAGGTATTAAGAGGTTTGGGTGGTACCAGGGGACTCCTACTGTGGGGCCTCATCCTTCCCTCTGCTCTGACCCATGTGACTTGGGCCTTCCCATCCATGGCCCATTGATGGTTGGCTACCTAGGCAACTGGTGCCATAGTGGAGGGGGAACTGGGAAGCAGCCAGCACCCTGGAAATTTCCCTCCACTCCCCAAGGCCCTCAGCGCCAACTTCTCAGAAATAAGCTAGGGATGAGTGCAGCTTCCCCGGACTCTGCCTGGAACTGTTGTGGTCAAGTCAGTTTCTTATAAATCAAATCACATGTTAAATGCATTAGGGGAAGTGGCAATTTACAGCCCTAGAAGCCTGAAGAACCTCTTGGGTAAATGCTAGATACACTCTGTCCTTGAAATGTGTTGGAAATTTGGGGTTTGGGTTCAACCTGGCAGCAGTTGGCTGTGTTTATGGAGCCCGCACAGGGTGCCAGGCCCATGAGATGCAGAGGTGTGAGGGGAGGGGCTGCCCTGAGGAGCTCTAAGGGCGTGTGGGGAGAGGAGTATCCAGAGGAGCCTGCCCCAAGGGGTAATCGCTGGCAGCGAAAGCAGAGCTCAGGGCTTGGGGGAGCCTTCACATCCACTCGGGATGGAGGAGTAGACGCTCAGAGAGGTCTTGGAGCTGTGGCTGGGGAGGGTACGCCAGGCAAAAGGAAGTAAACCAGGAAAGGCATGGAGGTGGGAAAGCTTGGGGTAGGGTAGACCAGGACTACCCATGGGGACAGCAGAGGCCGTTCCCACCTCCTCCTGCCTGATTCCACCCTTCTTTCTCCCCTTCCACAGCCCCTGACCCGCTGCCACCTCCCCTCTGTCTTGGGGATGGGATCGTGGACCCCTGGGGTTGCAGTAGACCTTAGAGGCTACTGGACAACCCCATTTTTGCTTGGGATGGGCATGAAGCCTAGGACTTGTCAGAGGCACTTCGCTTCTCCCTGCCAGGCCCCACTATTGGAGAGACAGCTGCTGGCCACTGCTGCCATTGTGGAAAGAGCCCTAACTTTGGAGTTAAGGCTTGGGCTTGAATATCAGCTGTGCCATTCCTGGCTGTGACTCCTTGAGCAAGTCACTGAACCTCTCTCAGCCTGAGCCTGTCTCCCCAACCTCCAAAAGGAGAATCCCAATGTGAGGATGACACGGAGCATATGTGGTCACCACCACTGTGACTCACCTTTTCAGTTGGTGCCTACTGTTCTGCAGGAACCCAGGCCATGAGGAAGAAGGCTCCAAGGCTGTGAGGGAGGCCTCGGCCTGCGTGCTCCAAGTCTCCTAATGTAGACAAGTGGCTGGTGGAAAGGGAGAGCCAAGAGGGCCATGTGGGGAGGAGGGTGGGAGACAGCCATCTGAGCTGGAGGGGGCTTGGAGACCAGTCCCACCCGAGTGGTGAGGCCTGTCACCCAAGGCCAAGTATTCTTTTCTGTCCTCATTGCTAGGCCTCTCAATGCCTTCCTCCCTCCTGCCAGCCTAGGTGCCCCAGAAATACTGCCAGGGACTATTTTTGGTGGGATGGAAGTGGGGTTAGAGGGCCACTTAGGGAAGGGGTGCTGGCTAGAATGATGGTGGGCTATGAGGGGACAAGGGTCTGGATGAGCTTATGAGGTGCCCCTCAACCCCAGGAATGGGGACTGGCAGCAGCAGCCCTCCACTACAGGAATTCGGGCTGCCATCTCCATAGCAACAGGTACCCATCCCCAGCCAAGCTTTCGGTCTCTTAAAGTCACAGTTCAGGAGGAGTTGGACTACTGCTGTCGAGGGTTGGGGGTTAGGATGGTGGCATTCGTACCTCCACACATTCCTTTCAAGTTGTGCTTGGGGGACAGGCAGGAGAGCTAGGCATCCTAGATGGCTGAACTTGTGGTCTCTGTATGTTTCCCAGGGAGCAAACGGCTTTGCTGGGTGAGAAGGTGGCCAAATGACGACTTGGGGGCTGGCTTGGTTCTGCCCCTTTTAGCTCCATGACCTTGACTAGTCTGGGTCCGCATTTCCTCTCCTGAGAATCAGAAGGGTCAGAAGAGAAGGCAGAAGCCCCAAACAGAGAACATTAGGGCCACAAGGGCTCTTCTGTTCATCTTATGTATGGGGAAAACTGAGTTCCCCAAAAAGGGGCCAGAGGGTGCTAAGCACCGAGCCAAGTTGAAAATGAGGTCTTAGGCAGCTAGGAATGCTGGGGCTTCTGCCCACAGATCATCCAGTGAGATTTCCTGAACTTCATCCACTCAGTCCCCACCTCCGCAGTCTATGCTATGGCCACCTGTCACCTACACTAATTATTCTTTTTTTTTCATGTAAATAATTTTATAAAGAAACTATATATAGCCCACTGTAAGGGAAAAGTTACTTAACACTTGCCATAGAGAGTAACAATAAAAATAAATACACCAGGCTGCAGAGTGGTATCAAAGGCTACCTAGAGACTGCTGTCCCTGGAGCTCTGAGCTTCCTGCCTTTTCTCTTTTTTTAATAAGGAAGGTTAGCAAGAGGGACACATGAGCACCAAACTGAGACTTCCTCCTGGATGCAGTTTGTAGAATTCACAGACCACTGCAAAACCAATACCCTGGGCTGGTGGCGCAGTGGTTGAGAATCTGCCTGCTGATGCAGGGGACACAGGTTCGAGCCCTGGTCCGGGAAGACCCCACATGCCGCGGAGCAACTGGGCCCGTGAGCCACAATTACTGAGCCTGCGCATCTGGAGCCTGTGCTCCGCAACAAGAGAGGCCGCGACAGTGAGAGGCCCGCGCACTGCGATGAAGAGTGGCCCCCGCTCGTTGCAACTAGAGAAAGCTCTCGCACAGAAACGAACCCAACACAGCAAAAATAAGTAAATAAACTCCTAGCCCCAACATCTTAAAAAAAAAAAACACCAAAAAACCAATACCCTTTCCACTGTGACTGATGCTGTCTGTGGTGTGCCTCCAGGTCTGCTTGTTGCCAGCAGAGTTCCACAATCCCAGAAGCACTGACCTAGATGATCTGCTTAGCTCCTGCAAGGGGTCTCTGAGGCCGGCTGTGCTAACGGGGAACGAGCAGTGTCACAGGTGTTCACGTGAAGGTGGAGCAGAGAAGGGGAGGCTGCTCCCAGAGTCCACAAGCCAGAATGCATATTCCTCAACAGCTGTGGGCCTCACTCTGCCACAGATGCAGCTGTCGATTACCGAGCTGCTGCCACATGGCCGGCGTTGTCTCCTTGAGAGGTGCAGGAATTCCCACTTTGCAGACGAAGAAACTGAGGCACGGCGAGTTGAGTCAGTTGCCCAGAGTCCCGTAGTGTAGCCACTGTCAGAGCCAGGCCTGGAGTCCGGGGCTCTCAAACCCCCAAGCTGGGGAGTCTGACATTACACAGGGCAGGAGGAAGAGAGCAGTTTGTGCTTCCAGCTGTGACGGAGGAGAGGCCTACAGGGCCCAAGCACTGAGAGGTGGCTGCCTAGGGAGGTGGCTGGGGTTCAGCAACAGCTCGGGGAGACGAACCACCTTCCTCCCAGGGGTCAGAGGGTTTGGGGAGATTGGGAAAGGACGGAGGGGAAGGGTGGCCGGGGGCTGAGGGCTGTGCTGAGTGCCTGTTGACCCCCTCCGCAGCAATACTTCATCCTCCTTATCATCACGGACGGTGTCATCAGCGACATGGAGGAGACGCGGCACGCCGTGGTGCAGGCCTCCAAGCTGCCCATGTCCATCATCATCGTGGGCGTGGGTAACGCCGACTTCGCTGCCATGGAGTTCCTGGACGGGGACAACCGCACGCTGCGCTCCCACACAGGGGAGGAGGCAGCTCGCGATATCGTGCAGTTCGTGCCCTTTCGAGAATTCCGCAACGTGAGTGTGGGCCCGGGCTGGGGAAGAGGTGGTTACAGGACCCCAGTAACCATAGTTAATAATCCAGAATGAAGGCGCTGGGATTGTCTGCCCAATCCTAGGCTCCTCTACCCTCAGCTCTGTTGACTACGTACCTCCTGAGAGCCTACTACCCGCCCGGCACCATGCGAGGCCCTGCCCCCAGGTGAGGCCATATGACAGTTGCATGAGCACTTGCTTCAGCAAGCTGACAGAACTCAAGGGAGTAGTGCCCAGTCCAGACCGGGGCTCCAGGACAGGGGTTCCCGGAGGACCTGCCCTCTAAACCTGAATCAGAAGTCGGCGTCATCCATGCGGGGGAAAGCATTCCAGGAGAGAGATGAGAGTAAGGCCCAGAGGCATGAGGGGCTTTCCAGGAAATCAAACCTCGCCAACCGCCTCGCTTCAGGTGGAAAACAGGGCCCATCTTAGGATGGCCTCCTCTCCCTGAGGGCCGTTCTAGGAGGAACTGGTGGCCTCCCTTGCTCCTGGAGGTGGCTCTGGTCCTATCTGCAGGTGACCCAGGTCTGCTTACAAGGAGGCTGGCATTAGCTTCCTGGTTGCTATCCTTGCAGCTGGGCCCGCAGACAGCCCCAGAGGGAGCAGTCTGTCAGATGCCAGCCTGGGGCCTAGCTTTCATTTGAGGAGAGGCACACTGTATAGCCTTGGGCAAGTCCCTGACCTTTCCTCCTGGCCTCAGCTGCCTCAGCTGTAAGCCTCAGGGTGCTGTGGCTCAGGTCCTGGGAGCCAGTCCCAGCAAGAACTGGCCACTCCGATTTGTAACCATTGGTGCTCACATCTCTGCCCAGTACCCTCTGGGTTTGCCTGAGTTAGTTCAGTTCCTTCCTCTGGAGCGTGAGCTTCCTGAGGACAAATGCTGGGTGCTGGTCACCCAGGCACTGCATGGACACTGAACGAGCTCCTGGTGTGCCCAGCCTGTGACTGGGTGCCGAGCAGTGAATCAGACAGTCACAACCCCTTAATACCAGCCAAGAAGGTGCTCAGGAAATGTTTGCCAGATGAGTAGGCCGTGCAGCTCACCTCCACCATCTCTTTCCCCCAAAAGCCTCCCATAGACAGATTTATCCTGAAACGTTACTCCTAGGCACCTCGAGTGCTCAGGTAAGAGTTACACTTAACATGAAGGAAAGCACTGCTAAGGGTGGGATTTCAGGCCTGGGCTGGGCTGAGGAACGCTAATTTTAGACAGCTCTGGTCCTCTGCTCTGGTTTTGTCCTCCAGGGACACCTTCTGTACTAGCTCCCTGGGCATGGTGCCCCTCACCACTTCATCCAGTGATCCTTTCTCTCTCCTCTCTCCACCCTACCCTGCAGGCGGCAAAAGAGACCTTGGCGAAAGCTGTGCTGGCAGAGCTACCCCAACAAGTTGTTCAGTATTTCAAGCATAAAAACCTGCCCCCCACCAACTCGGAGCCCGCCTGAGTGCCAGCCCTCACCCAGCAGCAGCATGCCGGCTGGGCCTCCCGCCCTCCCCAGGAACATGCACGCTCACCTTGCTTCCCTGTGGGTGGCCTTTTTTTTTTTTCTTTTAAACTGATCCACATTTTTATTTTCTACAACCAGACCTCCACACCCCCAACTTCCTCCAGCCCAGCTGGGCTTCCTTTATTGGAGTCGATTGATGATACTTCCAGGCCAAACTGGCTTCCTCTCCTCTCCCCACCCTTGCCACTCTTAAGTATTGAATGTACTTTGTATAATTTTAGTGGAATTGTTATTAAAGAGAATAAAATTTTTACAATCATAACTGGCTTTTTCCAAGTAACTAGCTGCAGACTCAAAGGAATGTGTCCCCGGTGCATGCTGTGTGGTAGCCTGCACCTAATTCCTGCTCTGTTTTTTAATACTGTGATCGTGTTCTACTTGTTATACTCAGGGTAATAAAGGAGTTTCAGATGTCCCTGTGTCAGCTCCTTCCTCAGCTGGGACCTGATGGGCTCACTGATCTGGGAAAGGAAACATGAAAACCCCTTCCCCCCAGCAAGCCTGTGAAATTGGTATAATCACTTCTACTTGGGGACGTGCATTCCACACAAACAGTAATGCAGCTGTTAAACTGGCACAGAACTTGGCACATCATACATGCTCAATAAATATCTGTGGGGCAATGAAATGCACGGTCCCTCCCCAGCCTTCTAGGCCCCAGCAGAGCCTATGCTGGCCCAGCCAACAGCACATGGTGCCCCACCCTTCTTCCTCGTGGTCCATGCTGTCTTACGTACCCCACTCCACCACAGCAGTGGCAGTCGCTGCCATCCATGTGCTCCTCCTGCAGGTCTCCCAGGCACTGGAGTACACCCTGTGGTCTGCAGTATGTGAAAGCCTCTTTGGCTTTAGGATGCTGAACAGGGCTGCTTCTGTCCCTGCTGCAGCAGCCGCTGGTTTCTATCACACACCCCACCCTGGGCTTGGGCCCAACCTCACGAAACCAGCTAGGTGACGCATCTCTGAAACCCCAGCCGTCTGGCCTGTTCCCTTCTCTCCTCCAAAGAGCACATCTTTCTCTTTTGTCTACTTCCTCCTTAGAGCTCCAGTCAGCCCCTTTGCCACAGGCTCATGTGCAACCAACAACTCACATATTAATAAGCACATTACAGGCATAATCTTGAACTTTTCCACCAGCCCCTGCCTGTGACCATTTCAGAGATGAGGGAACAAGCAGAGAGGCTAATCAAATCTATTAGAGGCAGAGCCAGAACTCAGCTCCAGGTCTGGCCAACTCCACAGAGCCCACACTTGTTCCACTGCACTGAATGTCTTCCCATGACTATAAGGGAGTCTTCTACTCAACCTGCTGCTGAATTTGTCCTTCCCCTCCAATGAAACTGGGCAGTCAGACATCTCGACCTACTCTCCCAGGTCAGCAATTCTTACCAGTGGCCTGCTAGACCTGGCTGGTGCGCCAGGCAAGTTCCTAGCTCCAGGTGCCTGGTAAGCTCAGGAGCCGGTGTTTATCTGGTGGGAGCAAGCAAGGGACATCTGTATCCTAGGCTTCCAATGCCTCTTCTGATTCCGTGGCCACCAAAAGCCAGCTGAAATATCCTCGAGGGACACCTTCACTTCTCATGAGAGGGCTGCCGGACTGCAGGGAGCCGTGATTTCCTCAGGGACCTTTGGGAAATCACAGCACAGAAGCCCAGAGGCCAGCTCGGCACTATGGGTAGAAACCCAGGACCAGCGCATCTGCCTCCTCTGGTTCACACCCAGCCCTTGCTCAGGATAGCTGCAAGACTGCGTGATGGTTGAAATAACACCACATGACTGCTTCCTTTGCCCTCCCGTTTCATAGCTGAAGTGTCTAGCTGGATGTCAGATCCAGGGAAGTTTGTGTCCAACTTAGCCTGGGAGAATCTGTCAAGTTCTGATCGACCAGAGGCCTCTATAGTGGAACGGCCTTCTCCTCCCAGCCCCACATCCCCTCCTTAAGCCCCTCAGGGGACGGGTGTATTGGGGCAACACCTGATGCAGACCTCTCCCTTACACCCCTCCATGGGAATAATTCACCAGATTGGTGAAGCTGTGGAGACTGACATCTACTGGGCCGGGTTAAGGTAGACTCCCTGCCTTGCATCAGGGCCCATCATAAATGCTCCAACTCCTATGGACCACCTACCTCAGTGTGGTGCCGGCAGCCCCCACTTCACAGCTGCACGAGGGAGCAGACCCAGCCATCTTTCTTCCCCCTTCTCTGCCTGAGGCTGGGTGGATCAGTCAAACAAGCCTTCTACTCCCAGCTGGTTTGAGTTCACCAGGGAAAGGAATGTCCTGAACTCCTGACCAGGCAAATCACCACTTAAAAAACAAACCAAGATAAGTTAAGTCCTGGGGACGTAATGTGCAGCATGGTGACTATAGTTAATAACAGCAGATTGTATATTTGAAAGTTGCTAAGAGAGTAGATCTCAAAAACTTTCATCATAAGAAAAATATGTTTTGGTAACTATGTGTGGTGATGGATCATTTCACAATATATACCATTATTTAATAATTACATTGTACACCTGAAACTAATGTTATATGTCAACTGTATTTCAATAAAAACAAACCAAGCCTTGGTGCTGCTATTTGGTTCTTGCACATGGACAGTAGGATGAAAAGTGAACTTGGAAATCTGACTAAAAGGCTCCTTTACCCTTGAATCACCTCCACTGAGGCATGGGCACTGGCATTTGTTTTAAAGTTTCATTGAAACCACAGAAAACCTGACTTAGAAATAAAGGCTCAAATTAAAATTCCGGTTCTGATACTTACCTGTGTGACCTTGGGCAAGTCAGTGAATCACTGTGAATTTTGGTTTCCTCTATAAAATGTAGAGAAGAGCTGTTTCACAGGACTTTTTTTCAGGATGAAAGACACTACAGTCTGCAAACATCTCAAACAGTGCCTGGCTCGTCCACAGTGGGCCCTCAGTAAATGCTCACCGATAAACAAACCGACATAAGGGATAATGATGTGCGTGACCACGTCTAAAACAGTGAGGGAGATGCCCAGCCGATGGCTAAAGCTCACAGTGGAGGTTGTCTCTGGGTTGTGCTGCCCATGGCTCTGTGAAACTCTGATGCTGGGCCACCTTCTGCCTATTAGTGCTATGACGCTCCCTCTTTCC